TTGGGGGCTTTCCAGCGGCCCCTTGACTTCTCTCTTCACTGGAGAACATCGCTTTTCTTAGCTGAAGGTTCTCTTTCATTGTAGTCTCGGAGTGTTGTGCCGCGAACACAATTAGATTAGCCACAGAGTAGTGCATCGGTGTAAGTACTTTCCGAGCGGCAGTGGGGAGGGGTCGCTTTCTCATTCTCAGCTAACATCATCAGTACTTTTTTTGACATTTACTTTTTTTTGCTTAGTTTTGACCAGTGCACTGATATCACTATTTTCATTCTGGAGTTCATTAGACTGTTTCTTTAGATTGTCTTTCATTCTCTGAGACACTGAAGATTTGGATAATTGGAAATCTTCCACATTATCTTGTTGAGTCTTCAACAATCATCTGATGAATTTAATTTGCAGTGGCCAAATTCATAAACCAGCGAGGACGTGTCACTATTCAAGAGTTGGCGGAGTACAGCAACAGGCTGATATGTCTGGAAGGTTCAGCATGAGCAGTATCGAGAAGCTTATTCGAAGAATAGCCTCTACTACATTCAACTGTGATGTGTGAACCTGTGGAATACAGAATATTTATATTTCATTACGACGAAGCTGATTTACCCGACATTACAATTGGTGATGCTGACCGCTATGGATGAGAACGGACAGAAATCATGGAAGGGTGGCCAAGTTCAGAACTGTACTAAAATTATAACATTAAAGCCATAAAACATACAATTCGGTAATGGCGTTAAATAGTGTTAGTAGTAAATGCGAGGAGAAATGGTTAAAGGACACACCTCACGTTCAGAAATGATGGAATCTGCTGCTCAAATGCTAGTGACGCGATGGTAAGTGACCCAAATGTGAAGAAAAAACAGAGAAAAAAAACCGCGCACCCTCATAGGACTCCCTTCTGAACCGCTCCTGTACGTGCACAGTGCGAGGGGGCGTGGTCAGAGAGTTCTCTCTTTGGTGTCATGAGCATATCATCTCTTCTCCCTTATTTCTTTACTCTCATCACTCGAAATAGGGAAGAGAGTTCGTAGCGACAACCACTCTACTAGGAATTCTTTAAGGGTGTGAAAGAAACTTAGGCGTTGTGGTGCCCACTGGGCGGGGGTGGCTTCTTCGCGACTAGGTCGTGTTTTAATCACGTATTTCAGAGTGTTGTTCATGTTTGTTGCAGACACTACATGTCCAAAGAAGGCATCAGAACATCATGTGAACGCGGGATGTGCCTTTACTATAATTCTGCACCGGGCCGCTCCATTATACGTCATGAACTTGTTAGTTCTTCACATATCAAGGGTCTGAGTGCCGTCTCTCGTGCTCGAAGGACCGCCTGTATCCGTTTGTGAGGCCATTTCTTCTTCCTGCATGATACGTAGGCAAGTTCCTTGTCCGAACCGTGCATCCATCAGACTGCTGCGTGTGATCTCTGAAATGATGCAGTTGTTATGTCAACCTCGCTGCCGTTGGTTATGTGATGCTTTCTGAAAAGAATTCTCACAGAGTCAATACATCTGCAATTGCAGCTCAAAACTGGGCATTACAGAGTCGTTGCCAAGAATTATTAGCTATGAAGAAGACGTGAAAGCGATAAAAGGATGTATCAAAACCAATAAAAATAAAAGAATTACAAGGAATGGAGATGGAGCTCATTTTTAGAAAGAAATGATGTCAAACGTATTCCAATAACTTGGAAAATTAAAAAAATTCATTCGAAGGAAAGTGAGCGCCAATCCGTTCCATAATAAGAAACCAAGATAACCAACCTCGTCATCATTCAGAACACTCAGATTCTGACTGATGAATTGTTGGAACTGTAAATCAGCATCGTATTGACTTTGAATATATCCTGCTCCAAGTGAAGGTGAGTGATGTTGAGGTGACGATGAGACTAAACGTGTTTGTGGCCGCAATTGTTCGTTCATCTAGAACAAATATGACATAATTACGACTCACTTTTATCTGAATAGTAATTTGTACTTACCGCTAATTGCATATGCCGAGACTGACTTCCTCGTGGGACGGCCTGGTGACCACTTACCATCATTGTACTGAGCGGTGAATCACCCAGCAAAGGAGAATCAGAGTCTAAAAGAACATTTTCCTCCCTTCGGAAAATAGCGTTTACTCAACGAATATTTCACTATTAGACTTAACTAGAAGAAAAAGAAAAGCGACGGTTCAGAGATTAAGAATTCCGATGCCGGTTTTCTTCATAACTCAGCAAAAAAAAACAAGTATTCTGGACGTTTTTTATATAACTTTTAAACTTTCGAATCCAAGACCAACTATTCCGTAAGTCAAACATCGTCTTACAAGAGGTTCAATTAAGATGCAGAATGACGCATAAGTGCATCAGTCTCCGTAAACGATCATGGACGGACCACTCATAGACAGAAATGAAATCTTCGTGCTAATTCCCAAAAGTACTGAACAAACTGAAAAGTACACCAGAGGCTGGGGTCCCATTCATCAACTTGAACCCTGGCGAAAACCCTAGTCTACGGCTCATAACAATCATAGAATACGCTTCTGAACGAGCTGACAAGATGAATAAAGTGAGAATGGGCCAGCATCGAATGCAAATTACAAGCAGAAATGCACATCAGCAATCACCACCGAAGGATATCAGCTGCAATTAGAGGACCCTTTTCTCCTGCGCAAAATCTTGTAAGGGATTATTCTTCTTGACAGTGAAGTGGATCTTGTTTTATCCCGAGAACCAGGTTTTTTTTCAGCCCACAAAAAACGCTAACTCCAGCTCACGCTCTAACTACAGATACTTACCATGCTGTTCTATGACCACAGTTCGCTCCTCTATTCCGTCATCAATGATAATGTCATCTCCAAGCTGACCTCGAGAACCTGCCACTGCACTTGTTCCTCTTGTCGAACCCAACGACGAGGATTCACTAGCTGCTGCTGGATTTTGCATAGACGACGCACCAGGTTGTTTCTGCATGATCGCAATACGTTTTCTGGGAGGAGGATGGACTCTGAAAAGCATAAAAATAATGGAACAAAAAGGTTGAATAATCGAAAGCAGATTATTCTACCAGGTGGACAGCAGTAAAATGTTAAGTACAAACCCTGTATCTAAATCCGAGACATTTACTAATCTGTACACTTTTTGCGCACCATTAGAATAGTACGAATTTGGGTCCACCACCATTGTCATTGAATCTAAAAATGTTGCATCAAAGATCTGAATGAGTCCGTGCAGTAGTTCACAAACAATATGTGATGATTAAAGGACAGTGTAAAACTGATGTGATGGATCACAAAAAGATAACGCAAGCAAGCTATGAAGAAAATGGTCGCAAATTTTCAAGAAGCAAACTCGAAGAATTCTTGAGTTACCTTTTTTAACGCTCCCAACCATTCCTGCACTGCCACTGGCTGTCACAGTCACTCCTTCCTGAGCAACCTTCGGAACGAACTGAGAGGACGAAGAAGTCGGTGCGTGAACCTGAACAATGACTCGAAGAATGCCGAAATAAAAGAAGTAATGAAAATAAGTTCTAAAATTGCTAACAATTTCAAGATAGAGGTACTTTTTTTGGTGATCGAGTTCAAAACGAAAACTGACGTCAACATTTGTCGCATTAAATGAGAATATACGATCAAATGGTCACAAACTCACAATCTGAACTCGTTGCGGTCGCGACGCATTTGTTGAGGATCCTGTGCTGGCTTTCTGCGGTTGACTAAAAAATGATAAATAGAGAAAATGAAATAAAGAATGATTAATATATAATTTTAAGAAAAGAAAACTTATCGGGAAAGGTCAACAGTTCAGACAGGCCACTTGCTGTGAGTGCACACCTTGTGCGCGCCTTGAAACGGTGAACTCACATCTACTTTCAGAATTTCCAGAATGATTCTGTGAGTGATTTACAGAAGTTTTTTTTCACACACGTTCCCCTTGAAGGCGCGCTGGCACCGAAGAGCCAGCACTTGCGGTGGGCTAAAAATTCACGTTCACGTAAACGAGTGTGGTATTCGTGAAGAGGTCAAATAACCCTCGGCCACAGGCAAAAGAAAGGGAAGAGATTCGCCTTACTCGAACAAAGTGTGTCGGGTTGAACAAGGCTAATAACAGCCATCAGTGGAACTAGGCCTGGCCTATCACCGATACTGTCCTTCAAGTTAAATTGACCCTTTAGCCATGCCTTTCCACAGAGAACAATATCTGGCTCACGTCTTCGCATCGCCTGCATCATTTTCTTAGTTGCCAGAGAGGTCAATTTCCAAAATACCCATGGGTGATAATATTCTCGACTTGGTTCTCACCAACTGTAAGCACTTAATTCAGGACATCTGTACTGGCCCTCCCATGGGGTTCAGTGATCACTCCTCCATCAGTTTCAGGCTTAGGCTAAAGACCTGAAACCTTGACTCCCCTCTAACTCAGAAAAGACTTCAGCTAGCGCATAATCGATTCAAATACTGCAGTACTTAAGTGGCATTGATTGGTATGGATCGCTCAATAGCGCCCGCTCTGTCAACGATAAATATGAACTCTTTTTGACCATTCTTCATCACACCATCGAATTGTTCGTTCCACTTAAACCTGCAAAAAGTAAGGGCACCCTTCGCCTTCCGTCCTACTTAGAAAGGCTAAGTAAAAGGAAGAATGATGCCTGGAATATAGCTATAGGTGGTGACGACGTTAATGCTTGGGATAACTACAGAAAGGCTCAGAACCTTGACAAAAAGCTTAAGAAGTTCTGGTCTCGTGTCGAGAGGAAAATGGTTTTTTCAGGCAATAAGAACTCCTTCTTCAAATTTTTAAGGGCTCGGCTCAATCACTAAAAACACTTTGGCGATTATTATAATGACGAGTCCGGTTTTAAGGTTACTAGCGATAAGGAGAAGGCGGAGTTATTTGCAAACATTTTTGACACAAAGTGTTTGTGGAAGAAAGTAGTTATGAAGAAGCGGCGGTTTCACCGGCCTTTCCTGTCATGAATGACTCATTGTGGTTCCTCAGTCGTGACATTTGCAAGGTTCTCACTAGTTGGCCTAGATCATTCTCTGATACGCCTGACCACATCCCCCTATATTTTATTAAGAAGATTGCTCCCGTGATCTCTGAACCACTAGCTTTCATTCTGAACCTTAGCCTCATGAGAGCTGAGGTTCCGGATAGGTGGCGGATGTCATTTGTAACACCTATACCCAAGAAGCCGCCCCATAGTAGCCCTCACAACTACAGACCCATCAGCCTCACATCTATATTCGCGAGGTTGTTTGAGAAGATTCTTAAGAAAAAAATTATAAGTCATCTGGATGAGTATCATATAATTTCGGAATCCCAACACGGCTTTCAAAAGGGTAGGTCCCCGATTACAGCTATGCTTCAATCCCTCAATGACTGGACCGTCTGTCTTGATAAGGGGTTGTGTACGGATGTCATTTATCTTGACTTCGCCAAGGCATTTGACAGAGTCTCCCATGCAAAGCTCATTAATAAGCTTGTCTTAATTGGTATTCACCCCAGAATTATACTTTGGTTGAAAGCCTTTCTTACCAATAGGTCCTACGTTGTTCGAGTCAATGATGTCTTCTCGGAACCTCGAAAGATGTCCAGCGGAGTTCCGCAGGGGGGTGTACTGTCTCCAATCCTATTCAATATATATACTTTCGAACTGCCTAATCTAGTGGCCGAAAAGGGTGTCAAATGCGTTGCTTTTGCGGACGACCTTAAGTTATACTATCCCATTCGCTCTCTTGATGATGCGGTCGTACTCCAAGCGGCCATCGATGAAGTGTTCCGCTGGTCTACTCGGTGGAATTTACCCTTAGCGAAGGACAAAACCTAAAGTTCTCGGTATTGGCCAGGCTGCCATTGAGACCGATTACTTCATCGATGGCGTTAAACTGGAAAGGGTTACGCAAATTAGGGATCTAGGATTTCTTGTTACCAAGAATCTTAGTTTTGACCAGCATTGTTCTAATATTGCCGTGAAAGCTATGGCACTCATGCTTAACCTATTCCGAGCCCTGTTGTCTGAGGATCCGGTTGTTCTATGTAGGGCTTTTAAGACCTATATCAGACCCTTGCTTGAATATGGAACGGTAGTTTTTAACCCCTATAAAGCCCGTGTAGTTAAATTGTTGGAAAGGATCCAGAATAGCTTCACGAGGAAGGTCTTTCTAAGATCTGTTGGGTTTCATTATGACAGGATCCCCGATAATGTAGCACGTAATGTCAACCTGAATCTCGAGCCGCTCTCTCTCAGAAGGCGTAAATTTGATCTTATAATGCTCTTTAAGATTTTCCATGGTTATACGGGTATTAGGCCAAGCACTTTAATGGATATTCGTGAGACCACCACTAGGGGCCCAGTCAATAAAATTGCGGTTCAGCGAGCCAGGCGTAACGTTAGACAGCATTTTTTCTTAAATCGCACTGTCCGGGAGTTCCACAGGGTACTCTCCTCAGGGAGGTCAACCAATAAAATTACTTCCTTTAAAGCCACTTTGAACAAGTATCTCGCATCCTCTCCCCATAGACATCCCGTTTGATTCTTATTAGCAATTGTTCATTTTGTTGATAGTTGTCTTTCGTTTGTTCGCTGTCTATTTTCTTCCTGCGTTCACTTACATTGTTGTTACCTTGTTTCGGTTTTGTTTACTAATTGTCTTCATTGTACCACACGCTTTGCCGTGTAAGAACAATAAACAATAAACAATGGACAGAGCTCGGGCTGTTGTTCTCTCACCTCCATAGAACACTTTTTCACGAAGCTGGGACAGATTTGGTTCGAAACGTGCCCCAGGGGTAACTTGACCAGCTGGACATCAGTATCATGCCATTTCAGTGCGAAAACCGTGTTGGGGGGACAAGCACAAGCTCTCTTTGAGGCCACAAAGGGTAGACACTTCTAAAGAAATCTGATTGCAGGTTTCTCTTACAGGCATGTAACTGCAAGCTACGTTAAAAACTTTGTTGGCCATGTTCATAAAAAAGGCAAAATGGGCTGATCACACTGGATCCGATCCGATCCCTTCAACTGTCTATAAGACCCCCTCAGCATCGGTTGCGCTCCATCGCTACGTTAACACATGTATGTAAGGACGCTTCCAAGCGATAGTATGCAGAAGAACAAAGAGGGAAGAAAAACCCTACACAGAAAAACCCTTCAAATCGTACCGCAGATTCAGAAGGCATATTCGAAATTACCGTCCCAAGATGAATACGTCAGTGTTCATAACATTGCAAATGGCCGGACTGACCTGCTGACCATCCTGGTTAGAAGAATACAAAATGTTTAGACAAAATCTTACTTTGATGTCGTCCCACTTCGAGTAGCATTTTCGTTTCCAGAGGCTGTGCTCACTAATCGAATAGTGGTTTGACCTCCAGTAGGGCTTGCCTGTCGAAGCAAAATGTATCCTGAAAGGCAGAATAACACGTACAATTGAGCAAAGCACTCGAGGATCTCAAAACGAATTTCGTCCATGCTCTCAACTGTTTGACAGCTCAAATGCATGCTAAAAACCTACCTCCGCTGTGCGAATCCGACTGAGGTAATCTTTGTGTAGTCGCGCTCTGCGAAGGTTGTTGGTACCTAGAGTGGGACACAATGTAGTGAAGTGCTTTGTAAGAAAACGAATGGTCTGAGAACTCACCCTGAGATCATCACATCGTGATTCACTTCATTGAAATACACGTCCTGTGCATTACTTGGTGACAAAGATATGTGAGACTGGCTTGAAAGCGCTGAAAATTGATGTTTTACATTATGATAACTGCTGTTTTACGCCGCAGTTCGCGTTCTGAAAGTTATCACAAATGCTGAGTTGTGGGCAAAAGTCGTGCCCCAGGCGGGAGTCGAACCGCACCTCACGTTTTCCGAGACTTTTGCTCACAACTCAACATTC